GTCTTGCTCTGTTGCCCAGGCTGCAGTGCCGAAGCTTGATCTTGGCTCGCTGCAAACTCAGCCTCCTAGGCTCAAGTGATCCTCCCATCTCAGCCTCCCCAGTAGCTGGATCTACAAGCATGTGACACCACACCTGGCTAATTTTTTAATTTTTTATAGAGGCAGGGTTTCACCATGTTGGCTAGGCTGGTCTCAAACTCCTGGACTCAAGTGATACGCCCAAAGTGCTGAGATTACAGCCGTGAGCCACCATGCCCAGCCTACATTTTCTTTATCCATTCATCCATTGATGGACACTTAGATTGATTCCATATACTTTCTAGTATAGAACTCCTGATTCAATACCTCACAGAATCACTTGTAAGTCTCCATCACTGTCTCACAGTGTTGCCTTCTCACACAGAATAAATAACTTGCCTATAGTCAAATTAGTAATTAATAGGAGGACTGAGGTCCAATATTCCGACTTGTTGCCTCTCTCCATGGAATAGGAATGAGAAACAGGATCCTCAAGAGCTCGCCCCTAGCCTCTGAAAAATCCACCCAGTAGACACTACTCAACTTTAAAGACAGGGTCTCGTTATGTTGCCCAGGCTGGCCTCCAACTCTTGGGCTCAAGAGATTGTCCCACCTCAATGTGCTTAGCAGCCAGCACTACAGGCACACACCACCACACCCAGTAACACTGCTTAATTAACTGAACTGAAGAAACAGAAGATAAAGGGGTACTATTCAGAAAAAGCAATTACTCTATAACAGAACACACTGGACACATTTGGAAAGATACTTAGAATAAGAACTGCTAACAGAATTGGCTGCCAGGTATGGTGGCTCACACCTATAATCTCAACTCTTTGGGAGGCAGAGAAGGGAGGACAGCTTAAGCCCAGGAGTTTGAGACCAGCCTGGGTAACACAGGGAGACCCCATCTCTACAGAAAATTAAAAAATTAGCCAGGCATGGTGACACACATCTGCAGTCCCAACTACTCAGGAGGCTGAGGTGGGAAGATCATTTAAGCACAGGAGGTGTGAACACTGCAGTGAACCATGATTGCGCCACTGCATTCCAGCCTGGGTAACAAGAGCAAGACCTTGTCTCAAAAAAAAAAAAGAGGAAGGGATTCTAAAGTAGAGGAGTTCAGAAAGGAACTAAAAGAGTTAAAAAGAGACCTGAGGAGTTTATAGTTACCAAAGAAATAAATTCCTCAAAGCACACACTTACCCTCATCCATATCAATTGGATCAGGCCGCGCTGGTTTTGTTTCTGGATTTGGATCTATTTCTCCAGGTTTAAGTTTTCGTGGATCATCTGTTGTTTCCTCTTCATTGTCTCGTTGGGCAGCTTTATCCCTAGAAAAAAGCCCATATGAGTTAGTCACACTGTAATACCATTTAGTGTTAAAAATTACCAGATTTCCAAGCTCTGGCACTCTTCCCTGCCCCCAAAAAAAAACAATGGATGGGCTTTAACAAAATAAAGCCTTTCTACATCACTTCATTTCAAAGAGATGATATTAAAATTCGCAATTTCAGTGACTGCTATCACTTTGAAAAAGGACCCAACAGATCCTAATCACAACTGCAGTAAAACCACACAGACTTTAAAAAAAAAAAAAAAAACTATTAGTAAAGAACCAAAATGTTGCAATAGTCAATTCTCAGCAGCATGATTATGGTGGCTTTTATTTGCTCTTTTACTATTTTTTCCCCAGATTTTCTATGATGAACATGCATGACTTGTATAATTTTTTTCAATTATTATTTTAAGAAGTATATAACAGAAGGCATAACTCTGATCAACCATATGAGATTTGGAAAATGCCATCCAATGGCTTCAGCTCTGGCTTTACTCACATCTGTAATTAAAAGTTTAAAGAGAGAAAATACTAAAACTTTACTCAGCCTCTTTTGGAACAGATACATATATTCTACACTGCTTCTGAAGATTCACTTACAGAAGAAATTCATAGTGTTCTAAGCACTGGGCCGCTGTTCTTCCAATGATTGGAGCAATGGTCCTCCACTGAGTTGGCATCAACTTGGCCAAGTGCAAGAGTTTTTCCTCTTCTTCTCTGGACCATTCCGTCTTCTTAATGCTTGGATCTAGCCATTCATACCTATTAAAAAGAGATCATTTTATGTATTAATCAGTTACCTGGCATAAATACCCAATTTGCACAATGGATACACTGACTTCTAGTGTCTGAAAAACAAATGCTCTCATCCTTCAATTACTAAAACTGTTCTTTTTTGACAACAGAATATTTGCTGTGTGGTTACACTCACCCCAGTCAATATTCCCCATTTAATCACAGGTTCTATTTTGTTTTAATTATACAAGATTAGTAATGGTTAAAAATTACTTGACTGAATCATCATATGTCTTCTTTCCCAACTACCATTTGTTTTTATTTTATACTCTTCTAGAAATTGTGAAATATCTGGAAGACAACACAACCTCATATTTTTTAGTGTTTCTAGTTTTCATACCATTTTCTCATGCTGTGATTCTCACAACATGGCTTCTTTTTTTTTTGGAAGCAGTCTCACTCTGTCACCCAGGTTAAAGTGAAATGGCATAGTTTACAGGTGCCCACCACCACCACGCCCAGCTAATTTTTTGTATTTTTAGTAGAGATGGGGTTTTATCATATTGGCCAGGTTGGTCTCGAACTCCTAACCTCGTGATCCGCCCGCCTCTGCCTCCCAAAGTGCTGGGATTACAGGCGTAAGCCACTGCAACCGGCCAGTGTCTTACTTCTTTAAGCATTGGACTTTCACTCAATTCACCATATGCTTTCATTTGATATGCTTTAAAACTTAAGTAAAACTACTATGACAAGCCCTCTCTCTTTCCTAATGCCCCAGTGAGCCCACCTTTTCCATACAGTCTACTTAGCTGGATGACAGACAGGCAAACAGAAGTTACGTCCTACCAAGTATCAGAGCAGGAACTGTTAACACAGAAATCAGAACCAATTTTTTAGCCTAAAAATCATCTTCCTCTTAACAGCCAATTTCTACATTTTTTTTTTTTTTTTTTGAAGAGTCTTGCTCTGTTGCAGGGGCTGGAGTGCAGTGGCGCAGTCTGAACT